GAAGGCGGCCAACACCTACACACTTAAAACGGATGACCTCTAGCTCAACATTGCGCTCCGGATTCACAAATGGATCTATAAGTTTTCTCCTCTCCCTCGCTCTCCCCTTTCTCTCCTAGGAACCGCCACGGCACACAAACGCTCTTGGCGAGAAGGAAGAAGGAGGAAAGGCGGCAGATGGGGAATAGGTGAAGGAACAGGATGAAATCCCTCTCCCTTCCCCTATTTAAGGAGGAGGCGCAACAGTTGAGGAAAGTTGAGGGATTGGGGCAAAAAACCCTCTCTCTTCCCCCATTCAATGCGGATGGGATACGGTGGGATGCGTCCTGACCGATGGGATGCACCCTACTTGACGAGATGGTGCCTGGTTGAACGGGACATGGCCTAGGCATGGCCCACCACTACCGCACACTGGGCACGAGAAACAAGGCGCAACCGCACATAGGTGGCCCTCCGCCTTCCTAGGCAAGCCTTGGAAGAGCCCAACGATGGGATCTCCATCCAGGACATACCAACGGGCTTCCTGAGTCGATCAGATGGCTCAGGCGAACACTGAGAGACAGGTAAGGAGCAGAGGGATGCCCCATATGGGCCACACTGACTCCGTCACGAACGACGAGTACAGGTCCTGATCGGACATATTCGAAAAAACTCCTCGAACCCGTGACTCGAGTCATCAAGGTAACTTTACCAGAACCTCTTATTTCATTTATTTACATAATCATTCATTCATCATTTCTCAGACACGCATTCACATATACATCCATTGACACATTCATTCATTCATCCCATGCATCCGAAGCATCGCATATGCAGTTTATGCACCCAAACGCTTTGTGTTGCGTCACGAAGCGGTAGTTGCCTCATTCAACATGAGCAACGACCGATCGGGGTTCAAAGGCCAACCCACGAAGGGCTCGAGGCTGCCTCGTGTCAAACAGAGCCAGGGGAGTAAACATAGATGAGTCCTAGTGGCCCTCGCCTAGTCTACTCTATAGCAGATAGAGTCATCTCAACCTTCTCATTCGATTCTAACCTCGAGCCATGCCCATAGAATCACCATCGAGGGTAGGCCAGTGGGCCACCTAGGTTGGTCTCTGAAATGACACAGGCATCTACTGGGACGTGGGTTAAAGAGCAATGGAATGCCACATGAGGGCTATGCCGACCCAATCACGAACGACGGACCCGGATTTCACTCGAACGTGCCCGTTAGCGAGCTCACCGAGCGCGTCACTCGAGCCATCGAGGCAAGCGACGTTAGCTCAGCCCCTCCGGTTGCGGAAACCATGGATGGGGTAACGCATGAAACTCCACCGACCCCTACCAAGCCCAAACGGGGCTCAGGGCGCCCAACCCCTTGGCACGACCAATGGCTGCGCCCGACGCCTAGATCCATGAGTCCGTCTTGCCTGATCCCTCAACTACCTCATCCACGCCAGACGCCTTGATCCCTCGACTGCCTCGGCTATGCCTGACGCCTAGATCCATAAGTCCATCTCGCCCGATCCCTCGATCGTGCCCGACGCCTCGATCCCTCGACTGCCTCAGCTACACCCGACGCTTGGATCCACGAGACCGTCTCGCCCACTCCTTCAACGGGGATCGCAACTCTATGACTCCGACTCACCCGCTCCCTCATCGGGGACCATGACTCCCTGACTCCGACTCGCCCGCTCCCTCGCGTAGGACCGCGACTCCAACTCGCCTGCTCCCTCGCCTAGGACCGCGACTCGGACTCGCCCGCTCCCTTGCCAGGGACCGCGACTCTGCGACTCCGACTCGCCCGCTCCCTCGCTTGGGACCGTGACTCAACGACTGCACCTCACCTGATCCCTCGGCTACACCCGACTCCTGGGTCCATGAATCCATCTCACCCAATGCCTCGGTTGTCCCTCAGCACGTCCGACGCCTTGGTTAACGACTCTATCTCACCCAAGGTGCACACACACACGCCCGCTGACAAAACCCCCCTAGGCGATTGTACCTAAATCACCTAGAGGCTCGGGGGGCTACACCCGTGGGTGCGCTTGCGCACACCCACTGTCAAACAACAAAAAATTCCCCCGTTGAAAAAAACGAAATACCCCCCAGACGATTCCACCCGAATCGTCCGAGGGCTCGGGGGCTACACCCGCAGGTGTGCTCGCGCGCACCCGCCCTCAAGACAAAACCCCCAGACAATTCTACCCGAATCGCCCAGGGGCTCGGGGGCTCCTGTCGGGTTCATAAACCTAGGGTCCCTAATGGATCTCTCCTCATCAAAGCATCGGCCCAGCAGACGACGTTGCGAACGACGCGTAATTCCTGGACCGGCCCAAAAACCTAATGACAGGCCAGAAGGGCGATCCAGTCTCCGACCGGAAGGCTTGGCCAAGGAGGAACAGCACTCGCTTCCGACTCTGGCCCACCTCTCCGACCGGAAGGCCTGGCCAAAGAGGAACGACGCTTGTGCTCCGACTCCGACCCACTTCTTCGACAGGAAGGCCTAGCCAAATGACCGCCTCCATCTCCGACTTTGACCTGCTTCTCCGACCGGCGGTACACCAAACCCCTGCTTACAGCTCTTCTCTGACCTGCGCAGTCGGAGTCGACTGGGACCAACCGACTAGGGACGCCCGCTCGGACCCAGGAAACTAACAGAATAAGTAAGGCAGGACACTCAAGACAACCGCAATACCGAAGACCGTACCCTTCACGACCGTAGGATAGTACCGACAAGACATGTTAGAAGGGTGCCCTGCAACCTTCTAGACATGTCAGAACCCCAACAGTGTTGAGGGCGCTGATATTTGCCCTACAGTGTTACAGGCGCCATCAATTCCCATACCAGGCAAACGCGGTAATGCCTCCCACATGCATCTAGGCATCTACAATGTTGTGGGCGCCGGCATTTACCATACCTGGTGACCACTGTGAAAACCTCCCACATGCGTCTGACATGAACAGTATTGTGGGCGCCTACAATCAGCTTATACCCGACGGCGTGGGCAACAAGACTTAGTAGCACACGTACACTCTCCCACTCTCTCTTACTTGTAAGGCCGTTCCCTTCATCTATAAAAGGGGATGCACTCTCTCCTAACAGAAAAGGATTCGAACAACCTAGGATCGATTCAACACACAACAACAGAACCACCGAGTTCAAACCTCAAGCGCACTCTCAAACACTTAGCGTACGTAGGAGCTCACGTCACTCTTGCCCCTTCAGACCAGAGTCCGACCGGACCTCTTGCACCCCCATCTTTCTCCCTCTCGTTTGTAACCCCACAGCAAACTTCGAGCATCTGGGCTCAGGAATAAAGTCACCGACCGACTCAAACTGGACGTAGGGCATGTTGCCTGAACCAGTATAAACCCTATGTCATTGAGTGTTAGGCCACATCCGATCACAACGTACAGCAAAACTATAAATATTTACATGTTCGTCACTTTCTGCACCGACACCTAGCCACCGGCGCCCCCCCCTCCGATCCAGAAGAGTAAGAGGAGGAGGAGGGCTCAGATCCAGAGAAGGACCGACCTACCTCGTCGGAGCCACCGCCATTGTCCTTGTCTCCAGTGGGGGGAGCGAGAACTAGGTCACTAGGGAGCGTGGGGTTGCATGGAGGTCGCGGAGGGATAAGGGACGGAGGGAGGGAGGGAGCACGGGCGGGGTGGGACGTGCAGCGAGCTCGCGTGCGCAGGCGCGGCATCCCCATCCCGAGGGCGGCCCGAAGAGCAGGCGGGTGAAGCGAGGGAGAGCGAGTGCGGGGGAGCGGGCGGAGTGGTGGAGAGCGATGTGCTGGGGAGCATGTGTAGAACGGTGTGTCCGGCCGCCCCGGACGCCCGTCTATATCATTATCGAATAAAAAATACAAAAGGACAAATAAATCTTTTGGAGTCTTGCCATTAAATACTTGCGTTGGTGGTTTGGTTTGAGTCTATGTACGATGATTTGGTTGCAATCCATCCTTGGAGATGCCCACAAACAAAATTCGTTGAGCTTTCAAATCATCAAACCTTGCTATATTTTTTCAGCCACTGATAATCTAGTATATATCCACGTTTAGTCAAGTCTTCATGATGCCCCCTAGTGCAGCAGCGGCGACCTCTTAATCTCTTATCTCTTGAACCCGCATATTCCAGTGCAGACCTACGTAGACAAGATTGTACACGTTAATGTTCAAGAAACACCGAATATGCATGCAAACCAACGTCCATAGCACGGCCAGAGAAGAAGCACTGTACCTGCCTCTGTCATGACATATACAGTGTTTATCAACACCATAAGAGTCTGCATCATGACAAAAAGAAAAAAAAAGAAAAACTAAACACGTGGTGGCAGATAAAAACAGAGCAACAGGTTACTCTGAAACAGAGCAACAGGTTACTAAGTGTCACACAATTAGTGCTAAGATACAGTAATTAACCTAGTATGCAGACACACGAGCGAACAGAGTAACAAGCATCTCTCTCTCTCTCTCTCTTTTGCTGACATAAGTGAAACAATCCTTGACCTTGGGTGAAAACCAAACTGTACCTGCTTGAAATACAGATATATATGTTCACCTGTAACTGTAACCTTTCCTACTCATCGTTAGCATGATTACAAAGGTCACCATAAGGTTTCATTGTGTTCAGAAACCATCACAACAGTGTAATAAAGTTCATAATATTTGTTTCAGCGATCAACTCTTCCCAAACTGCAGAATACACATCAGTTAAAGTTTCAGCGATCTTTTAGCTGTTTATTTACTCTGATGAAATCATAATTCCACACCGCAGACAACTACCAAAATGAAACAAAAAAAAAATTGCCAGAGCAGCTGCTTGATGATTAATCTTGCATCTGCTTGAGCTCTCCATACGCAAAGGGAAGTTCCAAAAATCTGTTACAAAAGTGAGCTGCTCGAGACAGTCCACATGAAAAGTTTGAACAGGTAATCTGTTGAATTCTTTTTCAGCAAATGAAATAATATACAGGCATATGGTAGGAAAACGAAATAAAAAAAAGGTTTTCAGCTACAATTCTGATGAGATGGTGTCATCTGCAGCAACCCATGTGGACATGGCAAGTATGCGACCCTTCCACCCTTGAAGAAGCCAACTGTTTTCGACGTCAATGACAGTCCCTGTGATACTCGTTCCTCATCTTCTCGCTCAGGATCTTCACAGCATTTGGAAAAAAACGGTAGCTGCCTCAGTCCTGCCTTGCGGTTCCACGCCTGCCACTGCCGATACGTCTCGGGGCGCTCCACCCTGTCGTGTCCTTCACAGGCGACAACATTCAGGGCGCACCGGCCGATGAGGTGACGCTCCACCGCCAAGCGCAGGTCACTGTCCCGTGGCACCGTGGCATCCATCATGTCAAACATCGCCGAGTAGTAGAACAGCGCCTCTCGGAACCGTGCCACAAAGAACGGCGTGGCATATGAGCCACTGACGATGGAGTGGATGAACACGTCCGCCGCCGGTCGCATCATCTTTCGGATGTTCCTGAGCACCACGTCCCTCGGGCTCGGGCTATGTATGTCGTCGTCAATGCCTGCCTCATCCATCAGGTTCTCAAATTTGGTGATGCTATTGACGACGAGCACCTCGTCGGCGTCAATGTCGAGGTCATCGGTACGGACGGTCTCCCACTTCGCTGCAATGCCGTGGAACTTGAACGGCAGACCACACTGGCGGGCGAACTTGCTCAGCCGACGCCCCGTCTCGTCAACTCGCGCGGTTGGGCGGAACCCGGGCTCGGGGAGGTCAATGCAGGTCATCCTCACCTCCGGCGGCCCGCCTTTCTTCCGCTTTGCCAGGTAGTCCAGCAGATTCGGCCACTGGCAGCCGTAGAGCACGCCGTCATCGACGATGTGCAGCTTCTTCTTGCCGGCGATGGCCTTGCTGATGGTCATGTTGGAGAACCTGTTGGCCGTCATCTTGAAGCACGAGACGGCCAGGTACAGCTGGAAGGCCTTGAGGAACTCCGTGACGGAGGTGCGCTTCGCCACCAGCGACGTGTACAGCGTGCTCCCCCGTCCCGGCTAGCCGTGCCTCCAGCCCCTCGGCGAAACAGAACGCCAGCCTCTGGCTTGCGTCCCCTCTCGGCGACGACTGCTTCTCGATCTGCGCCAGAAGCTGGGCTGCGGTGACTTGGTCGTCCATGGACACCGCCTCCGCGCAGTGGATGAGCAGCGTGCTGAGGTTGCTGCTGCTCTTATTAGCCTCCTCGGGAGTGGTGGACGTAGTGATGCTCAGGGTCTTCATTTTGTTTACACACAGGTTGTACCCGTCGATGACCATCTTGTCGACCATATCTCGCCGGTCTCCTCCGGCTCCGGCGCCATCAGCTTGCTCTTCCTGCCCGTCTCGCCCTCCTCCAAGTCATCATGCCCCCTGTTCTTGCGGCGGCCTCTGCTGCTGCTGCTGATGCTGGTGGCAGGCAAGAACTTGTTGGCCTCTTCCATGCCTTTGAGGAAGGCCTGATTGATCATGTCCATGCTCACTCTGTTCTGGACATGACTCTGACTGCCTCTGTCCGTGCTCTCATGGAATTGGGATCCTGCTTGTTCTAGTCCGGGCAAGGAGGAGGAGGCGCTGTTGGCAGCACCGGCCGTGAGCCGCTGGGTGAGCTCGAGCGGGTCGTACGGCCAGGTGGCGCTGGCGAACGCGGGGACGACGTCGACATAGGAGGAGGGGGTGAATGCCGTACCGCTCCCGTTGGCGTCGGTGGAATCGGAGCCGGAACCGGATGAGGTGGCCGTGGCTGTGGCAGCATCGGCGTCGGAGAGGATGTCGGCGAAGGGCTGCTGGGCCTGGAGCAGTGCCGGGTGGTCGGGGTACTGGTAGAAGAACCTGTCGTCCATGTCCTCCTCCATGAGCATGCGCGAGATGTAGGGGAGCACCAGGTCGTCCGGCAACGGCGGGTCGTCATCGCCGTCGTCACGGGGAGTAGGTGGCAGGTCGAGGAAGACATACGGGGAGAACGGCTCCCGTTGGCCGTCCTCCGGCGCAGCGGCCACGGCCGGCGGTAAAGATGGAAGCTTTATGTGAGCTCGGCGGCCACCGGCCACCGGCAGTATGATACGACCATATACGATTGTTTTGCTTAACTTGACCTTGTAACTGTAGATGAGATGAGATGCTCTTAATGATTACTCGTAGAGACAAGGATGGCTCATCCCAGGCTGCATCGCTGGTCGCACCGACCAATTTATAAGAGCACAAGTATAATAGTAGTTCGTAAACGGTCGTACTGTCATACTTGAGCCTATATATAAATCCGGTAGTCCATCGAGTACCACGATAGATCTCGATAAACGTTCCACATACAACTAAGATCGTACATTATTCAACGTACATATCACATGTTACATAAAGTTCGTAATTACAATCCATTCATCATAGTACGAAATAAGGTTATTACAAACCAAGTTCGATAGATAGTAGCGGAAGCAAATTAAAATTCAAAACTAGGATTTGCCAACTTAGTTTAAATATAGTGCCAACTCATGATCACAATCCGCAAAAGCATATAAGAAGGATTATTAAAGATGCCTGCCCAAGGCTCACACCTCATCCACGGTGGAATAGAAGCAATGCTTGCAATAGCCGTGATAGATGATACCGTGATAGACTGTACCATCTACAATAATGGGAATAAAACCCTGAGTACGAGAAGGTACTCAGCTAGACTTATCCGTCATAAACTAGAAATAAATTGACTCTAAGGATTATGCAAGGCTTTATAAGTGGAGATAGCTTGACAACATTTGCATAAAAATGATTAACTCAGTTATACAATTATACTTTGGTCATCAAGTTAATTATAACTATTCATCTCTAGATTAGCGACTATCCTGTGCCAAACATGTGGTATATCATTTGATAGCATATAATAGTAACCATAGCCGGTGTAGTCATTCCATGTTTATCCAAACCATCAATTTCATAATACAATTACTACGATGTTGGGACTAGCCAAGTTTCTCACTATCCGGGAGAGACGACGATTCGAATCGATTTCAAATAGCTGGGAATTTATTCCTAACACAAACCCAGGCAGACCAGATGAACGGTCACCTTATGTCACATTTGATACAACTCAAGTCCATATTTCGCGGGTTCACCCAGCGCCGCACAATCAGGGACAACTAGCTGCTAGGACGTTCAGACCCGGCCTGCCCTTGGGCTCACGTCTGGCTCCCCGCACATTCTTACTACCATCCAGAGTGTGTACTCTAATAGAGCGAGGCCACGCCTGAGTTGAGCTACTCGGCTTCGCAGTCGGAACGAGTTATTCGGCCAGCTAAGTGATAGGCATGCGTTCAATCTTGTTAAAAAGCGCCAACAACGGTACGGTCCTTAATCGGCACAGACGGAATCACATGAGTCAACCTACACATAGACTCAATCCGACCTCCATTTATATTACCCCATGGTTCTTTTTCACAATAGAAAATATAGCCAACCGTGCTTCGATATCCACCTATATCTCGCAGGTGATAGAAAATCACTCGACTTCTACCGGTCTAAGCATGGCTAAGCATATATTTGATCCTGGACCTACACAGGGTTAAAGGTATATGTATCTAGCCAAGGTAGTTCCATGTATCAAGTGTTTCCAATCAACTCTTATAACCTAATGCATCAAACATAAATGACTTAAATAGTATTTTGTAAAACCATGGGAGACTTAGAATGCTTCGGGGCTTGCCTTTGAGGAAAGAGGTGGGTCGGTGATCTGGGCACTCAGGGAGCTCTTCGGGAGTCTGCTCCTCTTCTCCTAGAGCTACGGCTTGAGGAGTCTCCTGCTGATCCTGATGAGGACATCACTTCTTCAGAGGCACCCGCTGATCCTCCAACCGTCATGCAAGGTCCAATGACCCGGGCTTGAATGCGACAACTCAATTTAGAGGTGAGCTCGTTCTTAAGTGATCCTTTCCATACTTTTGAGAATAGACTACTACCTAATGATGTTATCTTACTTAGGAACATTGAAGAGGGTCATAAGGGACTTAGAGGACGTGGTGGACGTGAGGATGACCAGCAAGGACGTCCAGCAGAAACCGGAGGCCCGATCCAACATGATTTCGAGTCTGCCTCGGCCTTCAGGACCAATTTGCCTTAAACTGGTCACCCAAGACGCATCCAGACTCCATTTTCGACGATCCACATATGGATGGAAAGCTAATTTGATAAGGAAGCGAATCCAAATGATCTCACATCAAAATCTGTTCAGAATCAATGGGAATCGTGGTCACAAGATAGCGTCCAGAATCTGCCAGGGTGCTGCGACACCGTCTTTTGGTCCGTTGGACCATGTATCGTGTTTGGGCCCATTATGGGCGTGTCCACGGGTCTTGCACGACCCTAGAGTCTTCATAAATAGCCGCCGCTCCTCCATTAGGGTTTGAGTTTTGCTTAGATTATTCTGTCAAGAACAATTTTGCCGTTCATCGGTTTGTGAGACCCCAACTTTGAGAGATTAATCATTCATCCGTAATTTGGTTGTGTTATTTCTTGTTCTTGCTTGTGTTCTTCGTTGCGCAGGCAGGGATTAGCCTTCTTGGTGAGGTCAACCTGGTCTGAGATTTGGTTGATAACCAGAGGAGCTGTGGTGCTAAGTTTGCAGGGTTCGATCTTTCGATCTGAAGCCGGATCGGTGTGTCATTCTCCGCCACAACGATAGTTACCACCACCTGACGAAAGATCGGGATCCCCGTTTCTATTAAGTGGTAATCAGAGCTAAGGTATACCGTCAAGTTCACTTTTATTCTCTAGTTTTGAGTGTTTCGCATTCATCTCATAGTCTAGTGTCATACTCGTTTTTCCTGTCCTAAAACCTTCCGCGTCATAGCCTTTGCATATTTCAGTTTTAGAGTCTGTCGTGTTGAGTTTGTGTCCGGGTCGAGGTCTTGTTGCTGGTTAGGTCATGTTAGAGTCCAGTTCGTGTGTTTTCCCCCATCGTTTCCATCAAATCTTTGCTGTTGTGACCAGTTTTGTGCACATTATTCCCGTTTTATCCTCTAATTCAGAGCCAATTCTTAAAACTGGTCTAGTTTTCGCATACGAACTCCGATTTCGACGTTCCATATATCAAAATCGATTAGAATTTTTTTTGGATCCATCCATCCCCGACCTTACCAGGGTCCGAGATTTTTAAATTGGTCAAAAAGTGGTCACAAGATCCTCTTTTCGTGGTCATAAGGTTTTTGTCGATTTTGAGCAAGTTTTCTGAATTTTCCACAGGCCATGTCTTTCACTTGTTTAAGCTCATATTTTTTTATGGTTACTTCTTTTGTGCTCCTAAGTAAAGGAAAAATATCAAAAAAATAAAATAAAAAAGTCAAAATTTCACAAAAAAACAACGACAACCCAAAAAATAGGAAAAATGAGAGGGGCAAAAGAGAAACAATATCTAGAGGAGCACATAGAGAAGACCAAAGTGAGCTGTGTTAGCGTGTGCTGTCTGGTTCCTTATTTATGTTGCTGTTTCCATCCACCATACTTGTTTTTCACACACCTGTCACCTTGCTATCCACCATACTTGTTTGTTACACACCTGGTACTTGGAGCATTTTAGACCAGCAACGAGAACAAGTACTTTGGACTATAATTCAGCATTACTTTCTGCTACTGACTTGTGTGCCAGATATACATATTACTCTTTGTTTGCCTTCCAAGCTCCACAAATTCTTCAGATCAGTACAGAAAAAGGGCTTTGCAATCTTGGTACCACTGCCTCATAGGTATCACGAACTAGCCACCGGTTGTACCGCCTACTTACGTTGGTAATAACTTTGTAAGAGCTTGGTAAGACGCTTCCACTTGCTATGAAAAGTGACACCACTGCAACCACGTAGTCATTTGGTAGGGATAACTTTCACCGTTTGTTCCTATTTTTATGTTTACAATGGCAGAAGGTGAAAAGACTAGAGATAACAATCCTAAGGGTTTCAATGAGTGTGTCAGCCAAGAGCAACTACAAGCTGTTGTAGAGGATGCCCAAAAAAGGATGAATGAGGCCGTCGGAAGGCCGTCACTGACGCACTCATTGAACTCAACATTGGCAACAGCATGGAGAGATTGGATAAACGAATTTCCACGCTAACCGACAAGGTTACTGAGTTGGAAACATTGGTGGCGGTCAACAACAATGACATCTCCGGTAGCAACACCGATGGTCTCTTGCCAGAAGACACGGTGCATGATGCTACTGGGAACATAGAACTATCAGCCTTCCGACAAGCAAGATTACGATGACGTCTTCGCCGCAACACGACAGGTATGGGTGGTGTCCACCACCATCAAGGTAATAATCACCGTGTACCCGATGATCCTTATGCTAAGATTAAGTTCATAATACCATCTTTTTTAGGTCATTACGATGCTGAGGGATATCTTGATTGGGAGATGACAGTAGAACAAAAGTTTAGTGCCCACCTTGTGCCTCAGCATCATAAAGTTCGTCAAGCTACTAGTGAGTTTAAGGATTTTGTCATTATTTGGTGGAATGGGCTAGCTGCACAGGATGCTTTACCTAGTACGTAGGAAGAACTTAAGGTAGCTATGCGTGATCGCTTTGTTCCTCCTTCTTATCATAGAGACTTGCGTAAGAAATTGATGCGTTCAGAACAAGAAGATAAATCTGTACAGGATTACTATGGTGAGCTCCAAAAGGGATTGATGCGCTGTAGTGTTGTGGAGGGAAACGAAGATGCCATTTGTCATTTTTATTCAGGTTTGAGGCGTGAGATTCAGGACATTGTTGATTATGAAGAATTTAACATTGTCAACCAGTTGTTTCAGTTTGCTATGCTAGCAGAAAAGGAATTGCAGGGGCGTGAACAGCAGAGCAAGAGCAAGGTCAGCACCACCACATACATGCCACGCTCAGCACCATCTTCAGGGCTGATCAAGCCAACCACTTTTCAGGCGCCTCCACCAGCAAGCAAGTGACCAACAACCTCTGAAGTTTCCGCTACACCTAAGGCACCTCCCACACGACCTTCAGATTCAGGTAAAAATTCTTTGCAGGTGCCTACCAAGAGTTCCTCATCCGTTGCATCGATGGGACACACTTTGGGCATTCAGTGCCACCACTGCCATGGCATTGGCCATGT